CTAGAATCTAGGTCCTAGATGAAAACTCTATATGAGTAATATTAAATCAATCTATAATACATTGTACAATAATCTATAAAAACTAGAAAACATGGTTTGCTTATTAAATGATGGATTTTAAACACGGATTTAATTGTTAAGTATTTAACAGACACTAGTCTTACATGTATTAACAAATATAACTGTTAAAACATTTTCAGCCATAGTCTGGTTGTAATCACTAAATGTATTGTTAATCTGTAATAAGACTAATCACCTCTTGGGGACCGACTGGAAGTGATTGATGATGTCTTTGGCAACCAAAACATCACTGGAGTTACATTAAAACCCTGATTATTCATTGTTGCATAAAATACTACATAAATAGCATTAGAATTTGAAATAATTTTTAAAAATTTTAATTACAATTAGTTTTAATAGTATTTAATTAAAATGTTTAATATATTTATATAAATAGCAATGAATTCATGTATTTATTTATCAAAATATTTTGCACAGAAAAAAGTATTTTATATTAAAAATGGGCGAAAAATTATTAAAAGACTAGTTTTTTCACTAAAAACAAACAAAAAACACGAGAAAATTTAAAATAAATATTAAATTTTTACTTTTAATTATAATAATCAGCATTTAATTCAAAGGGAATGACTCGGAAGAAATAGATGGACAAAAACTATTATTAAAAATGTTAATTAAATCATATTTTATATTATAATTATAAAAAATAAAACAAAAATTCTAAACACATTTGTATTTCATTTACTATTATTTTTTAAACTAAAAAATTCTGTTTTCTGATTGAAATATAAGTTAAATTTGATTTAGTTTTTCATTTAAAATACGTGTTTCTCTCGAAATTAATTTAAATTAAAAAACACTTTCTCATTGTTTATCATACCATAAGTAATATTATATTAATAATTAAATTAATTATAATATTGATATATAAATAGCAAAAGAGAGATGAAAACAAACAAAACAAAGATCTAAATCATTAAATACAATGTATTTTTCAAAAACTGAAATTCAGATTATATTAAAAATCATGTTTTTGTTTAGTTATTTGTTTGTCGCGTATATTATATATGTATAGACATAATAATTATTATAATATGAATTAAAAAATTACAATTTCGTTACAAACATATCGTGTGTAAAGTGTTTTTTCTCTACTATTGATAATCATTTACTATTAGTCAATGCGTTGGACAGCCATTCCATGGCTTCGTCGAGACCATCGCCTTTGATGGCCGATGTCTTGAATATTTGAAACGTCCTACTCTTGAGCGCATCCAAACCCAACGCCTGATGCACTTCCGCTATCGTCATCGCCGACTCCATGTCCTGCTTATTGGCCAACACTAAGAGTATCGATCGTTTCAGCTCTTCCTCCTGAGTGGACACACAAATCATTAATACAATTAAAACGCCAATCTATGCACTTCCGCTATCGTCATCGCCGACTCCATGTCCTGCTTATTGGCCAACACTAAGAGTATCGATCGTTTCAGCTCTTCCTCCTGAGTGGACACACAAATCATTAATACAATTAAAACGCCAATCAATTCAACTGCAGTTCTCTTTCAACCACTAGTGTATTGGCGCTTATAATACTTATTGCAAACATAATTCATCACTAAATCCAATATCTGATCCAATAGTACAGTAAACTCATACAACAGTGTAATCACTAAATCCTTAACAAAATCATATGATAAGCGCCGATACAAACGGCAGTCACAATGAGTTGATGGGATAGGAAAAGGCGGGCGGTGGTGATAAACATCGGGGTATAATCATTGATTGTATAATCACCTAATGATAACAAAATGCTAAAATCACTTCAAAGCATCAGAAACTCACTCAACACTAAAACCCCACAAACCCTACACTAAAACAATACTATAATAACTGGCAATAAAATTAGTCATAACGGGAACGGGACGGATAGGAACGGGTTGAACACAGAGGTGGGGGGTAATCATGACTACAACATTAATTGAATAAAAAATATGGTAAAAGCAATCACTTCTAGCATAGAGACGAGCTCCTGTTTGGAGATACCGATGCGCTCGCGATCGCAACTGTCGACCACATAGATGATGGCGTCGGTGTTGGAGAAGTAACAGCGCCAATACGGCCGGATCGACGTCTGGCCGCCCAAATCCCACACCTGGAACTTCAGGTTCTTGTACGTCACCTGTTCTACGTTGAAACCAATGGCTGCGTAAACAGATAATAGAGATAATCAGTTAACAACCATAAATCAATCCCAATTACAACACATGGTATTAGTTCCCTATCAAATCATAGCTACTCCCAGACATACACACACTCGTGAGGGTAAGGCGTAAACCACTAGTTCCCTGACAACTATCTCAAGACAGTTATCACCGCAACTAAACGCCACAATTGGTCCCACATATCAATGGGACACTAACTATCACACCACACAAGTGTGTCTTATAGTGTGTGTGTTTGACAGTAACAGCGAGTGGTAAGTGTGGGGAGGGGTAGACAGGGAGTGCACACGTACTGGGAATAGTGGTGACCACTTCGCCCACTTGTAGTCTGTATAAAATGGTGGTCTTTCCGGCGCCGTCCAAACCCAGTATCAAAATTCGCATCTCTTTTGATCCCAATAGCGATCGGAAGTACGAGAAAACACCCCCTAATGTGGACACAAACAGAAACACAGTATAATTAGTACAGTATAGTCATCATTGAATACCACACCACCCGTTACAGTGAAGCGTCGCTATTATGTACACAACAAACACATCACACACTTCACTATATCGGGTGTATAGACAGTGGCGGACACACACACACGCTATACAAACCCATTATTGATTAGTAAACTAGTTGTCAATTCAAATGAATAGCGTATTCAATACACAAATGTATTGATTATAACGAGGTGTTCACTAATTAACCAAAATAATAAAACTAATAGTGTACAAAATAAACTACACTAAACACAGGGCACCGGGCAGTGAGTCAGTCCACGTGTCTCTCAACGACTATAGGGTGGCCACAGAAACGCCGACACAAACACAACACATGTATAGATATATTTAACTACTAATTAATTAACTATTAATTTAGTTATAATTAAAATTAATTGTGTTTTAATTTATTTCGTAAATCATTTGCTGTTATAAAACATAACACAAAATATCGCTGTATTTACAGTCAGTATATGTAGGGGTCGTTCACTAATAACGTTCCGCTTATTATTTTATTGCCATTCAATGCACAGACAATTGTGACAACAAATCACACAATCATTCAAATGACGTGTACTCTCACTCCCGGTCCGTCATATACAACGTTACGATTTATAAGGGGCAGGGAGTTGAGGGGCAGGGGCAGGGTGGACCTGGCCGTGTGATCATGATTATTTAAAATAATTTATTTCTGTTGTACAGTATTTAAAAATAGTTTTCTATTTTATTGAGCTTACTGTACACTAATTGGAATGAGGTGTGCTAGCTGTTTTAATTGATTTTACAATTATTATTACCATATTGCAAATAACAATTTTTAAAAAGTATTATTAAACTATGCTAAAACTAAGAAAATAAATCTCCTGGTTATGCTAAATTTTATATAAATTAATCCCTTTTAATCTAGAATAGTTTTTAATTGTATTTATTTGTTAGACATTAGCAATTAAGTTTAAAAATATAAAAAATATGCAGTTAAGTTTTCATTTTATTAACTTATCGGGGTATTAAATACAAGTGTATAAGTGTTAATAGCGTTTGAGTTGTGGCAATAAATACACACATTTCCTTATAATTATTGCAGGTTATCATGTTTTAAAACTAAATATTAATATTTAATTAAATCCAATTTTTACTGTTAGTGAATGGTATTCATTGTAAATAATAATAAATATTTAATAAGATCTTATTTGATTTCAATAATTTACCAATTATTAAAAACAATAGTTTGTCCATTTTAAATTCGCATTAAATTACCTTGGTAATATTTAAGTATATTATATTTCATTTGTTATATCTTCTAATAACTTCACAGTAAGTTATCAACAAAAAAATATGTAATTAAACCTTATTGCATTTAATTTACAAGCATCTAGGACAATAACAAGAAAAATATTATGTAAAGTACACACCGAACAGTATTGTACATTATTTACATTCATGATAAATAATTTTAGTAAGTGGTTAAAAAAGTGCTCTAGGTAAATTTACAAGAATTTGCTATTTATTTTATAAATATACCCAACATATGTAGGGATAATTGCAATTTAAGCATTATTATAAACTTACCCAGGATTATATTTAACAGGACTATAATATAAATACTTTACTATATATATTTGCAAACTGTAACACAATAATTAAAGTTTAATTAGCGAGATAAATTATTTGTTTACCCCGTTATTCCATAGGACAGTAACTTATAGTCCCATATCTACAGTACAGGTTAACTATAAACACAGCTGTTTTATGTGACTAGAGTTCTGTCCTTTTTGGTTATACTTTACCTTTACCTAGATCATATCAAAATCCAGAATATACCCTAATTCATAATCTCTGTAATCCAATAATCTTCTTATCTAGATTAATTATGCCACTTAAATTGCATTTATAAATTAATATCTATTAATATTGGTTTGAATTTTGTTAAAAAACGTATGTATTTATAAATTTATGAAATTATATTTTATAATAAAAAGGTGTTTTATTTCAATAATTATATTTATAACACATTTATAACATAACTTATTTTATGCCAAATAATAACATTTATATATTGTTTTTATCACTACTTATTTTGTTATAATAATAAAACATAACTTTTTTTAAACATTTATTTTTATAAAACAAATTTTTGCCTTAATATCCATATAATAGTTATAATCGTTGAAATATTATAAATATTTGTTTAAATTGTAAAATACATTATTTAATACATTATATTTAATACGTTATAATATAGTTATTTACTTTATGTTATAATTCATTGTTGTTTGTCTTATCATCAAAATGTTTTATAAATAATAACAATTATAATTATTATAATAATTTAATTTAATTATAAAACAACGACATTTTGATATATGTATAGATGTTATATTTATTATGTAACAAGTAAAGTGATAGTCATTTATAAATATACACACAATTTAGTAAATATAACATAGAATAACATAATATATAGTTTTACCTTAATTTATAACCTAATAAATAAATATTAACATTATATAAATGCTTGGTTATGATTATCAGGGTAGAATTATAACTCGAATGGACGCAAAGCATTTATCAGAATTTAATTCATTTTATAAATACAAAATTTTCATTTATAAATATATCTAGATACAAATTACACTTATATTTATATACTTTATAACATTTGTGACATTAAACTTACTCTGATCATGTTTATATTCAACATCTCATTACTCCACATATCAATACTGTCTATCATTATCTAAATGTATATTTAATATAAAATATGTTTTTATATAACAATCTATTCGTTAGACAATAATTTCGTTTATACTGTATATTAAGTTATATTCATTTCTAAAATATTGATATTTAATAAAATTATTCAAATAAAAATGTTTTAAAAGGGTTTTAATTAATATTATAATTTTAAAAATCAAATCAAAATAATTTTGTTTTAAACATGCTTAAACTAAAATCACATAAAATTTTGTCTGTAATTTTTAAATAAAACATTCATAATTTAAAATAATAGTTGTAATTTAGGACACTAATAAAATCATATTCATTATTATTATACTATAATAATTTATTTTCAATACTTTTATCGTGGTGTGAATCGCTTTAATCCTAAATTATGCTTTACATCTAATCATTACCTTTTGTTTTAAATACAATTATAATAAATAATAATTAATAAATGCTTTACATATCGTATAATTATAAACTTAATAATAACTTATATTCTTATAATTATAAATTAAATACATATTTAATATAACTAATGATAACATGAATGATAGCTCGACCACAAAAACAATCAACCAATATAAAATTATTAAATAATAAACAATTAAATTTAATCATGTGTTTGTGTGACAATATTCCGGGTCATACATCGGTCTCGACGGGTGTGTCGACTACTAGTAGTGACCGCTGGTCACCGGCACCGGCCGTATGTCTGTTCGTAACGGCCGAGTGATAACTATCCGCGCGATTACTATCGCATAGTCGGGGTATAGTCTCGACCGCAACCACACCACCGATGGTTGCGTTGTTATTATCGTTGATATGATTATGAATGTGGCTATTGTTGCGGTTGTTGTTGTTGTTGATGGCATTGGAAGCACAGATGTGTGGCCCTAATAATGGCACCGCAATGACGGCCGCTGTTGTGGTCAATAGCCGGACAGGCGGGTGGGGTGGCTGTGGCGAGGGTGTGGTGGACAGTGTTGGTGATCGGCTCGGGGGCCGCCCGTCCATCGCCTCCTCCATTGACTTGTATGAGTACGAGTTGATGGCCGCCGAAGAGGACGCACCGGTAGACAGCGACCCGTCAGCCGATGTGGCCGTCGATAACTGTGAGGCACAGTCGCACCGGAAGGTCGGCAACTGGTGGCCATCGGTGACGGCCGCCGCCGACGACCCGATCAAACTGATGGCACACTTATGATCGCTATTATCATTGTTCGTGGCGTTCATAACACTCTCGTCATCGGACGTGCGGATCAATTGGTGACAGTAATGGCTGAAGTGTCGCGATTGGAGCAGCTCTGAGCCGTTGTCGCTGCTGATGATGGAGGAGCTGTTGTGGTGATGATTATTATTGTTGCTATAATTGTGGTGCAGATCGCGGCTCGAGTTGTGAAACGATATGAGTTGCGGAGTGACAGCCGTTATAAGGCCGCCGCCGGCGGACACGGGTCTGGCCTGTGGGTCGTCGTTATCATCATCACAGCCACCGCCGCCACTGCCATCGCCGGTAACGCTAATATTATCATCACTTCTGGATATGTTTGAGTCGCTATAAGAGGTTCGCCTGAGTTTACTGGTGCCCACTGTGCCCGACAAATACGGACAGCCGGTCACGTGGTTAAAGTTTTCCGACTGCAGGTCCTCCTGATCGGTCTCGCGGTGATAGAAGTAGTTAAAGTTGGACACAATCACCGGCACCGGCAGTGCGATGGTTAGCACACCGGCGATGGCGCACAGACTGCCCACGATTTTGCCCCAAACACCCACCGGACGCATATCGCCGTAACCAACGGTTGTCTAACCATAATAGAAATACTCGTTAATTAGTCAATATAATTAATTTGTAACTATAATAATGATAATTTGTTAGTTTAAAATTATTATAATTTAATAATTGCAATATGAACTTAAATGAATTAATAAGTTATTAATTGTCTACCATTCTCATAATTATCATTAATTTATTTATTATAACTTAAAATTATCTACATTATACATCTACAATTATATAAATTAGCTAAAATAAATATTTATATTATTATTGACTCAAGAAGAAGACTATTCCATTATACCTAGGCACTATGTTAAATATAAATCTTCATATAAAATGCTAATTTATTTCATTACAGTTACTAAACTTATTATAAATTAATATTTATTAAGCATTGAATAAACTATAGCTAATTTATAATTAATAGCATAAAATAATTCACATATATAATAAATAAACACTTTAAACCAAACACAAGACAAATAAAATACTAAATTAGAAAAATATAAAAATTAAAACTAATATCAAAATCAAATGAACATCACTAATACAAACCATAGTAACGACTGCCCACCAAAACGCGTCGGGAATGGACTTAAAGTACGACCGGTCGGAGTCAGCCTCGGCGTAATACACGGCCGACGAAAACAAAATCACCCCGATGAACAGGAAAAATATCAGCAAGCCCAACTCACGCATACTGGCCTTTAGGGTACGGCCCAGAATCTGCAACCCTTTTGAATGTCTACTCAGTTTAAATATCCTAAACACCCGAACCAGTCTAATCACTCTTAAAATGGCCAAGCTCATCGCTTGATTGCCCCTCTCGGCCACAAAGCGGTGTCTGTCCTCCTCCTTCTCGGCCAACATTGTGGCCAAAGTGATAAAATAGGGGACAATCGCCACCAGATCTATGGTATTCATGATATCCTTAATGAACTCCAGTTTCGACGGACAGGAGAGGAAGCGGACAATAATCTCGACAGAAAACCACACAATACATAGGGTTTCGACAATAAAAAACGGCTCAGTCACCGAGGGCGTTTCATCCTCAATCACCCTGGTAATATTTTCGGTTATATTATAAATCTTATAGTGTTTAAACTCGGGCAGCGTTTCCAAACAGAATATCACTATTGACAACAGTATGATCACTACGGATATGATGGCCACCACTCGGGCCCATTGGGACGACTCGGGGAACTCAAACAGTAGCCACAGTTTGCGTTGCGTCTCATTGCCCGGTAGGGGTCGGTCCTCCTCTTTGATGAAACCCTCGTCTTCGCGGAACTTATCGAAGGCCTGTTCGCCCAACTCGTAGAACTTGATCTCTTCCACGAAGATGTCCAGCGAGACGTTCACCGGTCGCCGCAGTCGACCGCCCGACTGGTAGTAGTAGAGTATGGCGTCGAAACACGATCGCGAGCGGTCGAAGAAGTACTCGTTACGGTATAGGTCGAAGTATCTAGGTAGTAATCGCAATCATTATGGTTAGTTTTTTGCTTTTTTTTGTTGATGGTAGTTTTCTGGTTAATGCTAGTTGTATGAGTTTTTGTTTGGTTTTATGTGTACAATGAGATGTCTAGTTACCAAGTTTAGTTTGTCTACATTAGTGTGGGTAATGTGTGGGGTTACCTAAAAATATACCAAGATCTCGCCAGAGTAAACTTGGTGTATTTTTATGTTTAATGCAATATAGAGTACATTATAACATAACTTTCAATACAAGGAAAGTAAACCTAAATGAAAGTCATTAACGAACCAGAGAAAATCTGAAACATATAATTCCCACAAAAAACGTATAGATTGTATACATATTAATTGTGTAAATAACCCTTGGTCTGTACTGTGATCAATTTGGCCGATAAATGTTAGAAATTTAAGCCATCAAGAAAATGGCAAGATTTTTATAAATAATATTCTACCTACTATGAATAACAACAGGTTTGAATAACAATT